ACGAGCTCACAAGGTGATGCCTGCGACTGTTCTGCTTCTGTGCTCATCGTAGTGTCAGGAATGATGTCGTTGGGTCTGAGTTACTCCACGGCCTATCAAATGTCTGCTCCATCCTTGAACCAATATCGAGTTCGCAAATAAATTTTACTTTCTCGCTCAAAATTTGAAAATTCTCAGAGGCTAAAGCTTTGAGCTATCGCATTTCGTCGAGATCCAGAGACAAAGTGGCTTAGAGGGCGTTGTACGTGAGTCAAGGTCAAGAACTCGTATTTCGTACATGAAACTCGGAAAGACAGTATTTGATGTCCAACGATCGCAGCTTACGCGGGGCTTCAGGCTAGAAAGATGATTATGTAAGAATCTTGGGATAAATCTGGTTCTTTGAGATTGCTAGGTACAATGATAAAATGTGTAACAGATATTTCTGCATTAAATGAAAACACTTGGATTAGCGAACCAACTTGACGCGTTCTTGGCCACTGAGGAGAATGGCGCGTACGGTGGGACTACTTACAAATCGCGGCCTGCACCAAATAACGTCCTAAAACCTCCATAAAACGTCCTGATCACGGATACTACATCTTAGAGATTCATAGAGAGGCCTGGGAGCTTGGAAAGAACGGTGGCAAGTAGCGAAAACATCCCAACCTGCTTCCTTGGGTGCAGGTGAATCTGAGCGAACACCACTCGTAACCCAACATCCTCGAGCTCGATATCCATCCATGTTTGAGCCTCTAGACATCTCCGCGCCAGCGATTCTGGTGTCTTCCATGGCAGTCTTGCGCCCAACGTAATCATTGCAACTTTTTGCTCCCGACCCCTCCGGCCGTTCTACACCAAGGCGCGAAGACAAATTTAAGAAATTTTTAGTGAGTATATATGGATGGATAGGCCGTCATAGGTCATTTGCTAACCTTGGTTTCTTTGTTATCGCAGCACTTACGACCCCTATCCGTGTTGCGCTCCCAGGGATCACGTCATATCCACAGAGCACACGTATGTTGCTACTCCCTGAATGACACTTGGGTGTTAGTAAATGAACTCATATTTTTATTTATTTTTTGCAGCCCAGCCATATCACCTTACCTGCCACCGCACGGAGCACTTGTTTTACCTTTCATTGAAGAATCGGTAGGTAGCCAATCGTGTATTGCTTATGCAATGTTGCTAAACAAGTTTATTGTTACCCAATTGCTCGATATTAGACCCAACCCATATCTCCATTCTTACGGCGCTAACGAGTATTATGTCTCAAAACACCATGGAGCCTATTTCCGAAATGGCAATGCACCAACAATTCCTGAGTCAACTTGCCGGCTCTGAAGCATCCCTCTTTGGTATCGACCCAACCCTCCTGCCTGCACACCTTGCAGGATACCACGGTGACGGCGACGATGAGGGGGATGGGGAGGATGGAGATGACCCAGAAGGAGGAGCAGAGGGTGATGAGGGAGTAGAACGTGAGGGAGATCGTGATATCCCTACACCCCCTTTCTTTTCTGGGGACTCTACCGGCACCGATGGTCCTGCCGGCCGACAACACAGTGGATCCATCTCCGGTAGAGGAGTCAAATCTCCCACCAGTGCACAAGGTTCAGGCATCCCCCCTATTGGAGGAACAAGTAATGGTCGGGGCATCAGCAGACTCCCGGATCCGCGAGCCCAAGCCCTCATGCAGCTCGTCCCTATGCCATCCCAACTTCCACCGGGTACCCAATCGCCGACAGATGCCTCGAGCAACCCCAACACCCCTATGATGCACATGCCGCCATACTCCACCCACTATATGCTGCCGAATGGTGGGATCATGCCTCATTCCCTGGTCACGAATGTACCAGCCCCAATTGGTTTGAACAGCGGCAATCCCGCAGATCAAGTTGGCACCTGGACCGATTCTGTCAACGCATACTGGCAACCCATGGGTCTTCCCGCCTTTTCTGCTCCTCTTATCAACTCGGGCGGTTTAGCAGCTACCATTCGTGATGCAAGACTGGCATGGATGGTAGGAGAGAGCGTGTGTGGACATCCTTCATGCCTTGGACGACGATTTGAGAGAAAGACCAATTTGCTCAAACATTTGTTGACGCACGTCGAAGCGAGACCGTACATCTGCACTGTCCCTGGATGTGATCAGGCTTTCAAGCAGAAGTGGTTGTTGGATCGGCACGGAAGAGTTCATGCTGCCAACAAGTAAGTGGTTTTAGCTTTCTATCGAGACTTTTACTCATTCACCATGACAGAGAGGTTCACAAGTGTCCCGTTCCTGGGTGCAACACTACGTGTTCATCCCTTTACAATCTTAGAAACCACGAGTTGGTTCATTCTGAAACAAAGTAAGTATTTGCGAAAAGCTTTAATCCCTTTGTCTCATCTAGTTTAGGAAATTCCTGTGCGACTTTGAGAATTGCGGAAGGACATTCGCAACAGCTAGAAATCTTCGCCTTCATCAACGTACTCATACTGGCGACAAACCTTTTGCATGCGACTGGCCAGGATGTGGAATGCGTTATCACAGACCAGCTCACCTGAAGCGACATCAAGAGGTTCACTCTGACAGGCACGTGTATCCCCTACAGAATGCGCACTGTATATTTACATCTCTATAGTACCAAACCCAAGCCTCCTCGCAAGGCGCAGACCAAAGAGCGTCCGGTGGCGGCACCTTCTCGTCGAGCTCGCAAGACCATCGCCACAGAATTGGACAACGAGATCGACGAGCTCGCAGGGGATGGAGACTCCTACATGTCTCGACAAGCAGGTGACGTGGAAGTAGATGGCTTCGAAGGCGCCGCGATACGTTCTCGTCCTCGTCGTGCAGCCGCTGTAGCTGCAGTGGCAGCCAATCGCAACCGCCGCTGGGACGAGGACATTGACTTCGGCGATGATGGCGAGGAGGAGGAAGACGATGAAGATGACGAGGATGAAGTCAGTCGCGAGGATGTTCTTATGGAGGAGGATATAGACGATGAGGATGAGGAGGAGGCTGACGACCAAGCACACCGAAACCGCGCTGGTGTCGCTAACGCGGGTACCGGAAGACCAAGGGGCAGACCAGCGGGTAGGGGAAAGTTACCTCTAATGTCCATGTCGGGAGACTATCGTTTGAAAGGTGTCGTGGCGCCATTCAGCAATGCCAGAACGGAACAGTCAACAGATCCTAATGGTCTTGCTCCAGCAGCAGAGGGAACCGAAGAATAAAGGGTACCTCCATACATCTATCCAAACGACGTCTCTTACTTTACCAATTCCCTCTAATGCTCACTCTTCTCGGCGTCCTCTTCTGGCTAACCTCATCAACTTGCATGGCGAACAATCTTTGTCTCCACCGTTTAGCTTTGTGCTTTGCTCCTCTGCTCTTCACTTACGTGAATAGATCCTCTCTTCTCTGGCACTATTCGACAAACTCTCCCCACGTCTCTAACATTTTGTGATTTAACTCGGCTCGGTCTTCTTCGAGCAATGGGTTTACCCTTGTAATTAGCTGATGCTTTAATAATCAATGCCAAACTTGGATGTAGCAGCTTTGAAAAACTGAGTCAAGATGGTCGTAGGTTAGCCACAAAAGTGGGCGTAAACTTCAGATCTGTGGCGGGCGAAATAATCTGACTTGTGCAAGGTGCATTACAACAAAGAGTAAGAAAGGGCATTGATTATTAAAGCATCAGCTAATTACAAGGGTAAACCCATTGC